GCTCGCTTCTGACCCGAGCTCAAGGTCCTGGTGGCTTTGGCCACACGGGACACTGCCCGCTTTTCCACCTTCTTTGATGACGCCCCCGTCTTCCGGATCCCTGGACGCCGGTTTCCAGTTGACATCTTCTATACCAAGGTGCTCCCCGAGGATGGGCTATAGTGTGAGGCATGAGGCGGGGGAGGGCAGGGTGGATGGAGAGTCCACAGGGGAAGGACCGAGCATGTGGAGCGGGGAGGACGAGGCTGCCTGAGCAAGTGCCTACCTGTGCCCTCTCCTCGCCAGGCTCCGGAGGCCGACTACCTGGAAGCCTGTGTCGTGTCTGTGCTGCAGATCCACGTGACGCAGCCCCCCGGGGACGTCCTGGTGTTCCTGACGGGACAGGTAAGGGGGTCCCAGAGAAGACGGGGCCGGCAAGTCCAGGGCGGCCTCTGTGATCGGTCCCTGCTGCTCTGCCCCCAAATCCAGGAGGAGATCGAGGCTGCCTGCGAGATGCTCCAGGACCGCTGCCGCCGCCTGGGCTCCAAGATCCGGGAGCTGCTGGTGCTGCCCATCTACGCCAACCTGCCCTCCGACATGCAGGCCCGCATCTTCCAGCCCACGCCCCCCGGGGCACGCAAGGTGAGAGAGCTGCAGAAACCTGCGCTCCACCCTGTGGCGCTGGGGCGCTCCAGTGCCGGCTCTGGAGAGAGGACACGGACGCAGGCAGGAGTGGGAATTTGCACCTGTAAAATGCAGGGATGTCAGAGGAAGGCTTAAGGTGTGATTGAGGTCAGAATGCATGGTCCAGTGGAAGGTTTGTGAGAAGCAGTGGGAGACAGGGCAAAACCACACCTGGACTAGGTTAGGGAGGGCCTCGGGTGGCAGGTGCACGGGTTTGGACTTTAGACTGAATGGCAGTCACAGGATTTTGAACAAAGTGTAACTTTCATCAAATATCGAACGGGTTCTCGCAGGTTCTGTTCTGGGGGTGGGATGTGGTGAGACAGTCCTGGCCTCGCGAGCTCCCGGTGGGTAAGTTAGGAGACAGTGCCAGGAGGAGACGGCACGGCGGGGCGTGAGGCTCGGGGGAACTTGCCTGAGCGAGTAGGGAAGGCCTCCCCTCTCCAGTCAGGTGAAAGTGAGGCAGAGGCTTGGACTGGATGAGGAGGGAGCCAGGCTGGGACCCTGAGAGGAGACAGGACATGAGGGCTCGCGCCGAGTGGGCATGGCTGTAACTCCAGCAGGATCGGAGGCGGTGGCCAGGGGAGTGATGGGAGGTGCATTTTAAAAGGACCCTTCCGGACACCACAGACCGAGCGGCCCCATCTCCCAGCTCTGAAACCTCAACCTCTTCTCCACTTCCTTTCCACGTCATGCCCTTTCTGAGCCCCGCTGCCCCTCACCGTCCTCCCAGCCTGTCCCCCTGGCACTGGACACGAGTTCCCTCAGCTCCTGCCCTTATCTGCCCCTGCTGTCTACTCCAGATCTCCCCGACTCCTCTTCCTACATAGCTGGGAGGTGGGGTCTCTGAGTGACCCACAGCCTCTCACTCAGGTGGTTGTGGCAACCAACATCGCCGAGACTTCACTCACCATCGAGGGCATCATTTACGTGCTGGATCCAGGGTTCTGTAAGCAGAAGAGCTACAACCCTCGCACGGGCATGGAGTCACTCACGGTCACACCCTGCAGCAAGGTCAGCTCGACTCCAGGGGGTCTCCATGGTGGAGCGGGAGGCAGAATGGACCCACAGGCAGGCCCTACTCAGAAGCCGGGGGGCTTAGAGGACGAAACCACAGCCTCCTGGATTCCTTGCATAA